AACATCACATTTGAAGGAAGCCACCATTCTCAGCATGATCCAAGGTGAGAGCAGAGTGGAAACACATCTCCTGCAGTACGTAGGACAACCCTGGTGTCTGGAAGGAGTGATTATTGGCAGGTGGAAAGCAGGGGAAAGAAACACGACAGCATAAATGTCAGCTCTAACATGAATCATGCAACCCATCTCCAACAGTTTGGTATTTGGAGGATATCCTGATGCACTGCTTCCTAAAAGTTTGTAGCTGCAGCGTTCAGGGACGGTAAAAGCCAACAGCAACTCAAAATGCCCTTCCTGAAAACAATATTCAACTAGGTAACATCATACATAAAAAGAAGGATGACGAAGTCAGGGAGCAACAGTGTTATGGCAACACCTTCATGATGATATGTTTTTCTCTTTAAAGAGCCCATGGAGCCAACCATCCAGTGTCATGTGCAGCAGAAAAGCCAACAGCAACTCAAAATGCCCTTCCTGAAAACAATATTCAACTAGGTAACATCATACATAAAAAGAAGGATGACGAAGTCAGGGAGCAACAGTGTTATGGCAACACCTTCATGATGATATGTTTTTCTCTTTAAAGAGCCCATGGAGCCAACCATCCAGTGTCATGTGCAGCAGGAAACCAAATGATGGCACAATTGGAGGTTACCATTTCTCTTCTGGTAGGTAGGATATGGCTAAATTAGTATTTTCATGCAATTGCCTTTCCTATGTTAAATATTCATACATCAACCCCTGTTGCTTCTAATGGAGGTGGGCACATTCCCTGCCTGCTTCATGGTTTCTGAGCTAAACCACTGATGAAGGAAGCAGCCATTTGGAAAAACGCCTGGCTCAACAGGCAGAACTGGATGGTTGGAGGGACTAACTCTGGGACGTGGAGCTTTTTGTGTCCAACTGGGGCCAGCACTGGAGAGGCTGGCGAAGAGCGCTCTACCTGCTTGAAGCCCCCGATCGGTGTGCCAGGTCCTGCAGGGAAGCGTCACTTGAATGTCCAGCCAGGGCAGAGGCTGGGCTGCTCCCAGTGTCGCAGCCAGTGGGACTGCACTGCATTTGCCAGGGAAAAGCCCCTGAAGGTTTCTGAACCTCAGGATCACGTTGGTACGTCCTGGGGGCCTCCCTGTGTGTATTCATATGGTCACTACTTCTCTTCCCCAGCACTTCAAAACCTTTTTCTATCCTGGAGAGCCAAAATAGCAAAATATTTCCAGGCAACCGAGACCAGTGACCTCTGGTCTGCAAAACAAAGTGTCAGGACAGTTCAGGCCAAGGTCTGAGCCAAGTACACAAACATTGCCTGAGCAGCCACTGATTTTTCCAAGAACTGTTATCCATCCTGTGCAGATAGCCCTGTGTCACCAAGCAGTCAAACGTGGAACCACACGGGGATGAAGTCTAAACACGTCACGTCTTTTAGATCCAGCTGCTGGCAGGTCTCTGCCACCCGGTTCTGGTGGCCTGGTTGTGTCCTAGATGTGATAGTTGTCACATGGATTCCACCAGATAAAGCTACAGAGCCTCACAATGATGCACAAATTCAGCATATGCTGAGAAAAGCAATGGCACAATTTTAAGTATGATTTCAAGTGGAGAGAGAGGAAAAACAGGGGGGAACCTAGTTAAAGATTGCTATTTTTACACTAAAATTAATATACTAATGTGTAGTTAGGTGGCGAAAATGACTAACAGCACAGCAAGGTTCCATATTTACTTGCTGTCACTGATTTCAGAGCAAATTGGCTCAGGTTAAAAGTCAAAGAAGAAGGATGATTCTGCTGCTGCCAGCACTGCACACTTCAAGAGATATCTGAAAATCAGACTTCTTACCTTATCATTGTTAGAAGACTCTGCAATCCAAATGTAACTGACAATTCGGTTGATGCACGAGCAGAAATAGATGCCAGCTCACTCTTCCATAGCTAGAGAATCTCTGTAAAGCTAATAGGAGTTTAAAACCATTTTGTCAGCAAAATAACTGGCTCTGACAGGCGCAGGGAGCAGGCAAATGAGAATACAGTCACCTAATGCTGGGTACCACAGGGACAGGAGCATCTCAAGCGCTGTGCTCCAGAACACGCTGCCCTCTCCGGCAGCCTCGCTCCAAGGAATTCAACATAGTCTAGTGTGAGGTGTCCCTGCCCGTGGCAGGGGGCTGGAACTGGATGGTCTTAAGGTCCTTTCCAACCCAAACCATTCTATGATCTTAATGCTTACAGCACCGAAGACAGGAATGGTGAGATGCTGGGGTAGGAAGGGTAAAGTAACTAGCTCAGCACTGGGAGCAGAATCCATAGCTGTGCATCTCCAGCCTTCACCCTTACCCACAGCTCAGCTATGCCATTGTTCTTTAAACAAGCATGATTCTAACAGTGGCCAGATACTCTGCAGGTCTTCCTTGAGTGTGCTGCAGTGTGGAGAGAAATGCTGCAGATTATTATGAAAACCCCACAGCTGTGCAGCCATTCCTACTGGAATCTTGTGGTGCAGGTTTTATACCAACAGAGATCATCCTTCCACCTTAGTAGTGTGCTCTTCCCATTTCCATGGCATAATTTCCAGGGAAATCATCAGGCATCTGAAACAGCTGCAAGTATAAAACATGTTTACCCCACTGGAGGGCACGGAATGGGATGTTTAGCATAGTGCATATTATCATAAGCATCACAGATGAATAAATAATGCTTATCAAAGAATCACAACTAGTGGGTTTAAGGAAAGGGCTTTCAAGTTGCAATGATTATAAATGACAGCAATCAGAAGACTTCTGTACAAACAAGCTACATAAGAACATGGGAGAATCTTGATGAAATGGATGCCGTAGCAATAGGGGCATCAATCGCAAGTAGGAAAGTAAGACCAGGACACCAGAATGAAGTCCAAGTGAGTGGGAACACTGTCCTCCTGTACAGAGGAGCCCTGCTCTTACTCGGGTAGTGGGCAGGTCTGATCTCTGGCTATGAAGAAGCATAGAAACTGTACAGATACCCTCCCAGATGCAAGCTGCTGCCTTCCAAGGCAGAGGATAAGTGAGATGAACTAGGGTGGAGATACAAGAGGTTTTCTGCCTGTGATTTTCCTGCCATCTGGGCACATGTAGGGGTGGGATGGTGGCTCGGGGCTGTTAAGAGAAGCAGAATGCTATGTAAGAGCAGAGGATGAGCAGTTATTTTGTATTTCTACTTTGACTAGAGAGAATGTTCAATAAAGACCATCTCCCCCCTTCCCCCAGGCTGCTGAACTGAAGGATGGGCTCCAAATGAGCATCGCATCCACAACGGGAAAATGGATCACCCTTCAAGAACTCAATTGCTTTTCATGCACACAAACATGGTTGAAAAGTTCCTTCCCTCCCACATGGAAGCAGCTGCAGAGAAATCTCTGCTTAATATTGACACCTCCAGCCCCGAGAGCACCCGGTTTGCCTCCATTACATCCAGAGTTTGGAATCAAAAGATGTGACAAGAAGGGGAAGAGGCAACAATGAAGGTGAGCAGTGCCTTGTCCTCATTTCTAGGTCTCTGAAGACAAGAGGGACAGGGCTGCAGTGACGGATTGCCTAATGCTCCCAATTCTTTCCCAGCCACAGTTAAAAGGAGGAAAAGCCTATTAAGAGTCTGAAATGTACCATGTAGCTTCTCTTCTGCAACTGTCTGCAAATCCTTGTGCTCCAAAGCATTTTCCTTGAGAGTGTTCAGAGGCACGCTGCAAACAAGCAGAAGTCCTGCCAATTGTTTTAGCATGATAAATGCATTTCAAAGCTTTCAATATTTTTGTCTGTTTATAGGCATGTTCCTTGAGGAATTTTGACAAGTTTGCCAGAATGGAAAAGTTACAACATGCTTAACTTACTGCTGAAGTTAATGCAAATTCTCAAGTAAGAAACCTGGCTCTTCTTGGCGTGTTGAAAGGGGAAGGCAAAGTACAAACCCAAACCACTGCTCCTGACAAAGTGAGGCTGGACAAGAGCAGTGGCTGGTCACACACAGCCTGTGCTGATAGTACAAGGCACGTTTCCAGAACTGCTTCCTCCAGATACCTCAGCAACTGGTAACGTGGCTTCCATGCAACATGCAGTATTGCACAACCAGATGTGAGTTAACTCTCTTGGTACTTCTGCAGGAACTAAAGAGACAAGTGCCTCATCTGGGACAACAAAAGGACTTGATGGTGGCACCACGAGCAGAACACCAAGGTTTCTCTCTGTGTTGTGGCTAAACTAAAAGCCAGCCCTTCCTCTGGCATCTCCAGCAGGGCCACCTGCCCTTGCAGTCCAGAGGCCAAACAGGACTGCTGCTCCTCAAGGTTTTGGCCATTCTAGAAGACCCAGGATGCTATTTCCACCTGCAGACATTCATTTCCACATGTAGGGCAGAGTGAGCAGAGCAGGGAAATACTCTGAGTGCAAATGAGGAAAAAGATAATTAATATCCCCCGAAGTCAATAAGTATCCTACTGGAACAAGCAGGGGGTAGCACTGAAATGATTTAAGTGGCTCATATAATGACAGGTAATCTGCTAAAGAGTAAAACTATACAGCCCAGTAAGCACATGGTATAAAGAGCCTTTAATATTGATTCACTCATTCAATATTTCATGGGATTCACATCTTGCTCAACAGTGGAGCAACAAGAGAGAAAATGCTCAGTTTGGTCATGTCCTGATGTCTATGAGATTAGTAAAACAGCAGCATTGTCAGGTTTGGACTGACTTCATGTTTTAGTAAAGACACTGGTTGGTTTTAGCACTGTTCTCAGACATGTTTGGTGCTAGGTCTGCACACAGAGGTGATACACGCTGGGCATTGAGGGATGTCCGTAGGAGTGAGACTCTCAGCGATGGGATGTGGGCAGGTAACCCATAGGAGCTGTGTTAAAAGTGTCATAAAACGGAAAGAGGAAAGAGATCAAGGCCATTACAGGTACCTCAGTGCACTGCAGAGAGAGTGACCTTTGAAAACCTCAATGCAATTACACCCAACCTGCTCCGGGACTCACCGAACATGTTCCCGATGTGGCCGTTCTTGGTGAGCGGTCGCAGTTCGTTTTTCCCAAGTGCATAGAGTTTGTAGTTGTCCCAAGCGAATTTCATCATCTGCAAAAAGAAAATGGAGTGGAAGTGCTTAACAGAACTGAGAGTTTCCTGAACGTCGGCTCTGGGAAGGAGCAGGAGTTTCCCATTCACTGCTAAACCCAGCACCCAACTCATTACAAAACCTCGATTCGCACTGAACACTTATCACGGGGCTGCACTGAGCTGTTTGCTCAGACTCATCCTGGGGCAGAACTTGGGACTGGCACATTCCTGCAGTACCACAATTCCCAGCCCAGTGGGAGTCCCCTGCAAACCAAGTGGGAGTTTTAGGAAGATGTCTCCAGCTCACAATTCCTGACTTTTTCCATGGAGTAGCTGTATTTCAGAAACACAGAATCATTGGGTTTGGAAGGGACCTTTGGAGATCATCGAGTCCGACCCTCCTGCCAAGGCAGGGCCACCTACAGCAGGTTATACAGGATGGCAATTAAAATGGGCTAAAAACCTAAGGCCAAAGCTGATGCATCCCCAGTTACAGGGACGTTACATCCTGAGTTTTCCCGTTTCTTTACCATGGCGATATAAAACTTGACCAGAGTGCAAAAGGGCTCCCCAGGTGCCCATCCTGCAGCAGCCACATGTAGAACTTTGGCAAAGCAGCACCACGAAGGAACACGATGCACTTAATACGGTGGTGAGCAAAGGAGGAAGCTGGTCTTTGCTTAAGGGCTGCACTGAAGTTTTCTTTCTATGAATTAACAGAATCCGTTCACAAAGGAGAAAGGGGAAACCCATGACATTTTGATATCTTCCTATCACAACTCAAAAGTGCTTTCTTAAGAGAAAGCAAGCAGATGGGCTGGGTGATCTTTGAGAAAGCCCTTCCAACTCAAACAAGTCCTTTTGGGCCATTTGAACTGTCCTGCCCGGGCTCAGCACATTAACCTTTCTCTGAGGACTGCAAGGCAGTGTCTTTGTGCGAGTTCCAACACACACACCCCCAGAGCCCAGCACAGCTTCTTCTGTCCTCCTGCCCCTTTGGCTCCAGCTGGTAAGAAAACTCAAACCTACAAGTATCCTCTGTTCAGGCAGGAGAGCCTGGGACTTGTCAGCTTCTAAGGAGTGCCTTAAATAAAGCTGCCTTTTAGAATTCACCCAGCCTGACTCTGAGCAGTTACAGCTCCAGCATCGCAGTGACCTGTACAGGCTTTGATTCAATCCCTGGCAAAAAGATAACAAAGAGGAAGAAGGCTGCTTCAGAGGATTGACAATATCCTCCACTGCCATCCAACAAAGAGAAGAGACTTCGAAAATGCTTTACTCAAACAAGACATTTGAGAGAATATGACAGTTTAAACCAAATCATTCCTCTACAGAGTGCCCCTGTCTAGTGCCTGCAACAGCATTTACTGTTCTATTTCAGGATCAGAATATGCGGGTTTCTTTGGTCTGAAATTGCTAGCATCATTTCAGCTCTTACTATTGTCCTTCCCTCCGGTGGAGTGTTTCACAAACCCAACACTGCAGCCTCTGGCAACCTCCTCTCCTTCATTAGCACACATACACCGAGAGCCCCATCACCAGATCCTCCCCCCTCTGCTTTTTCAAACATCAAGCTTCCAAAGTAAAGTTTCACAGAGCTGCTCACATGGACGAGGATAAACATTTGCTGAATTGATTGATAACATTCAGACCCTAACACCATCAAGAGAAGGAATGTTGGACAAACAAAGTCAACTGGGATGAACTAGTCACTTGGAGCGCTCTGCTCCCAAGAACGCTAAATCACGACCAGGTGAGGAGTAAGGAGAAACCTTCAAACACACCTCATCATTTGACTTGATTTTCAGTAGATCTTTGGGGGGTTTTAGGTGGCAGCACTACTGTAAGCAGGAAGTTCTCACTCTTCATTAACCTAACAGGGCATCTTGGCAGGAACTCTGCACTGATGGGACTGAGTGAATGCTTTTATGTCTCAGAGCTTGATCCTGAAGTTTACTGCCGGAAAGATGGTGTTCCTATAATGACAGCTTTCCCACAGTGAGTGATAGGGCTCGTGCCCCAGAAAGGAAACAGCTAGGCCACTTATCTGCTTCATTTCTCTTCTAAATCAGAGCTGAGGAAGGAGGACCCACCCTTCTGGCACACAGAGCGCCTGGACATGGACAGGATGTGGAAATGACTCTATTTTGCTGCATAAAACTCCTAACGTTGTAATTCTGAATCAGCCTCATTTTAAGCTGAGTATGAAAATTATTTCCTTCCCTCAACTTTAACCCTTCCATTCCAGAAGGTCTGAAGCTTCTCCTTCAAAGCATACACCAGACACAGGCTCCTCTGCCCCACCGGTGGCTCTCTGGGACCAGCTCACCAGCACCTCCATCACAGGCAAAAAACCACCCTGGGTTTCCCTCCAACAGGCACTTAGATCCTACCAGGGAAATTCCTTCCTCTCCTTCTGTCTTCTGGCACAAGGAGGAGCTGCGTGAGGCTGCTGCAGAGTCCCCGGAGTGACTCCCTGTCACTTTCATCGTTGAGGCCATTACCTTTTCTTGTGCTTTGAATTCATACATTTATTCTTTGCCTATTGAAGCATTTAAGCTGCATTTGTCACAGTGCTGCAAAAGTTCCACTACAAAACGATTTCTTGGGCTGTGCTGGCTGCAGTGTCTAAAACTCTCCTCCTCTGTTCTATCCTGAGCAGATCATCAGGCAGAGGATGGATGAGACTCTGCCTCATCAAACTGACAGGTTTCTTAGACGTGAGCAGAATTTTGCTCACTGCTTTTAAACCCTCTGTGTTTGGGAGGCAGGATGCATAACGTGGTACCCTCCCATTTTCCAGCATCAAGCCTTCCTCTCTCTAATGATGGGTCCAAAAGTAGCAACTGGAAAAGTTTAGAAGCCAAAAGCATCTGCACCATTCTGCCCATTCTGGCTTTCTGCAGCTGTCTTTCCAATCCAAATTTAGCAGTTCCACTTCCAAACCACTACAGAGCTTCATCAAGTTTCTAAAAGTGGGGACTCCACATTTATATACTGTATGGAAGACTGACACGGAAGCTTTCAGAAGCTTTGACAGAGGTTCCAAATGCCAGGCTGAACGAAAGGGATGGAGCTGAGAGGTGCCAAAACTGCGTAACGAGGTGTTCGAGTCAGCTTTGCGATGAGATGCCAAGGTTAGAAGATGGTCATTCTAGCCACGAGATCACAACACGTCAGCATTAACGTGATGCCATTTTAGATTTGAAAAATGGCACCAGAACCACAAAAATTATGGATATAGACCCATAATTTCAGATTTTGTTCTTACCACTGTGTTGTCCGATAGACAATCATCTATTTGGCCCTGAGACTCGACTCACCCTGGCTTTCAGCTGATCTATAGCAGAGACTTCCAAATTTATAATGGAACTTGTCATGTTGGCTCTTCTCTATAATCTGAGAGGGAGTTTTTACTTCCAAAAGTTTCAGCTCCCAGCCAGATGATTACTTGTTAAATCAAGTGCAAGGAGCTAAGCTGAATGCTGCCGCTTTGATCATTCAGGCCATTACCTTTCCTTGTGCTTCGCTCCAGCCAAGCCCAACAGAGACGTCGCTCACAAGCCCCTGGGTATCTCAGAGGGCAGCATCCTGCAGCCACGCAGAGCCAGGCACTGAGGGCAGTGTCCTGCACCGAGCTCATTGCTGCTTCAGGGCCTTCAAGTACATCTCTGCAGGTTCCCGACACTGCAGGATTCGGGTTGCACAAATCCAGTGTAGAACAAGGTTAAAACTGCTTCCAGTGCTTTTCTTTTTCATCTATGGAAATAGTGTTATTTGGAAGTCAATGTTATAAATACTCTCCTCTAAAATACTGGGCCAAACACTAAATGCTTGTGTCCCTTTATAGACTGCAGGAAATCATACAAGTACTTAAGGTTTTCCACTAACACCCCAAACTTCTCCATCTGCTACACCTAATGAGCACACCACAGCAGCACCTACACTGCTCCCACAGCTTTGCCCATTCTCTCACTTCCATTTGCTGCTGACATGTCTTAGCAAGAACTCTTACGTTTTCTGAGCTCAAACATGCCAAATCACACACCGAAGGTCACCACTCCAGGCCCAGTAAATAAAAGCATCAGCAGAGCCGATGGCACTCGCTGTCTGCACACAGTGTGTGATGTACTGCAGGAGGCACCACTGCTCCTCACTCTGGAAGGGCTTCTGAGAGTCCACGGGGGCTGCAACCCTGGAGATGCCCAACAGTTGGGATTCCCAGCTTCTGATCCACGCGCACTACATTCTTCATCTTCAGAGTGCTGCGATGTTACTGATTTTCAGGGAACCTGAGGTTATGGAAAACCAGACTCCAGTGGAAAAGCATCAGGAAGAATTCGGACCAAAAAGGCATATAGCAAACCCTGTGGTCCCGCTGGTGAAGAAACAAGGCTCAGCATAAAAACTCGACCAAGGAAGTGTTTTCACCCTGAAGAGCTGTGCAGATCTGATGTTCTTTAACATGCAATAACTGAACCACTGACAATCCCTGGTGTCCTGTCCTTGCAAAACGAGAGAGATGAGAGGGGAAAAACCCAAATCCCCCCACTCTCACTTGCCCTCCTTTTGTC